AAAAATAAATCTAATTTCAGAAATCGTTCTCCTAGTACTAGTAGTAGTGGTAGTAATGGTAGTAGTAGTTGTAGTAGCAGCAGTATTCCAATATGCAATTGGTTGTAGTCACGATATCTTTCACAAGACTATTAGGTTCAACTAAGTGCCTGCTTTGAAAAATAGTCATTTAAAAATATTTAACATAGAGAATACAATAATTACCCACTTTCAAAATATTATAATTAAGAAAGTGGTTTTAGATCATAACAGTTATTTATGCTAAAGATTATTACAATACCTACGAAAAGCAATAAAGAATTTTTAAATTTTGTCATTACCCTAACTACTATGTGGCTATCATAATTAACCTAAATCTTAGATTAATTTAAGATATAAATAAAAATTAATATAATAAACTATTTTAATTTTCGAAAATATTAAATAAATGATTTCTACTTTTTATAAAAAAAAATTCTCTAATAATTTATAATTTGTATCCGAATGAGACCAATAAAACTGCTCCCAATTTTCAAAATGGCCCTTGATATAATTACAAAACGACATAAAAAGTTCATACCATTCATTATATAATATATATATTTTTTATTATTATATTATAATCTAAGTGATGCAATAATCATAAATAATATTGAATTCAAGTAGACTTTTTATCAAGTGCATCACCTTAGAGAGTGAAAACCTTCAAGTCGTTTATTTAACAATATTTCTAATCAAGTAATAAACGTAGTCTAATAAAATATCAAAACGCTTCTAAAAAACCCTCCGGGAAATCTGGAAACTTATGCTTCAATTATAGGTAACATTTTGATAAGTTAATGATTAAATATATTAGAATACTTGTCAGGTTTCGGTACTAAATTAAACGTTTTTTATAACAATCTAAGTGGAATGTCAATAGTTTTTCATTCGCTTTATTTTTAAAATAAAAAAATAAAAAAATACTTAAGGATGAGAAAATACTTGTTAAAAATCTATCATGAATCTTGTTGGGATTTTATGTTTCTAGTTTGCAATTAACAACATTGTAAGAGACTATTATATTTTCTTTAATTAAAATAAATTAGTTGCCTGCAGTCAGTTCACCTACTCTTATAAGATGAAAAATTGAATTAATATTTAAAAATAAAATTAACATAAAAACAAATATGTATATAATTATTTACAATTTTAAATAATTAATTGCTAATTTTCAGGACATTAAATAAATTATATTAATTTATAATAAATTTTACATATTTGCTAATTGTTTTAAATGTCTACGATATAACTTGTGAAATTCGGGTGAAATTAAATTTATAATAATATATAATCTATTTTAAATAAGTTCATTTTATTATAAAAACTTAAAAACAGTTTTTACTATAAAAATAATTATCACTAATAATTTATATATAAAAAGTTTGTTTAAAATTTTTCATTTTAACGCAACTAGCTAAAAACTATAAAATATTATGATTTAGATTTATTTTAAGTTAAATGAAATCTAAAAAGTCATATCATCATTTCTTTTAATATTATTTCTTTAAAGTTTTCAGATTTTTAATTGCATAAAATAACATTAATCTGCGCCACTAACACATCACTAATAATAATTTAATGATTACATTTCCAATACCTGCATTCCTAGATTAAATTTCATATTAGTAAATGGCAAAGCCTGATGATATTTTTATTATATTAACTGAAAGTAAATAAAATAAAAATAAATAATTTTATTTTATTTTTTTACCTGAAAATCTGTGATATCAATAACTAACTTACGACACGAAATGCTTGAGAACAAATAATAAATATTTCGANAAATTAAATAATAAAAAGTAAAAATAAAGGGTTTAATACGATATTTCTAAATATATTTAAATTTTATTTTAACGGTATTATTTTAAAAATATATTTATAAATATATTAATGTGGTTAGCTTATAAAAAGGCAATTTATAAAATTTCTATTCAAATACGAATCTGAATAGGAATAATAATATGACATCTAATAATAGTGTAGGAAATTTTAAAGATAGTCGTAAGCATACAAATTATCTTGGTTGAACCCTTCAAAGCCTATAGCTATCACGAAAAAAGCTACAGGCCTGTAATGAGTTAGTTGCTTGTATATCACAATATATTTTAGTTATTATGACAACATTAATAAAATATTATATCATTTATATTATTATATGATTTGAAAACTTATTTAAATATTAAAATTTTTAAACGTCTAATTAAATTTATAATATTAAACTCAATAAAATGCTAAGTTTATAAAGATTGCTTTTAAGTTATATAGTTGATACATATAATTTTAAAAACGAATTTAAATATGTTTCAGTAAAAGTGAAAGAAAGGTTTTGATAGGAAATATAGACCGAATAATCAAAAAACAAATTAGATTTAAAGCATTTTATGCTAATTTTCTTTTACCATTTTCAATTATACCTTTTATATCGCAGGATAGTGATCATATGTTAAATCATTCAACATGTGATACTGGCATTATTCAGATGGTTAATTCATAAACGCATGAGAATAAAAAAATGTGACATTTATTTATAATAGATAAATATAGTGAGAAAATGTAAAAGATTCGCCAAACTATTCCTTAATAGGATACTGATGGAATCCGATGTCTGGTTTCTAGAATGTAAACAGCTGTGAAGTGAATTTAAATTAATAAATATTTTGAATCATGTTTATCTCAAAAATTTAAATAAGAAAACATCATTAAAATAATAAGCTTTAAAATATATTTGAAATATTTTACCCACACACAAATAATAATGATTACAAACGATAACGACAAACTATACATAACTATACGACAAACTCTGTATGTATAATACGGTGTTTTAACTTACATTACTATAAAAGCATTTATTTTTTTAATAAATAAAGCAAAATAAGCTGATGAAAATTGTGTAGGATCTATCAGATGTGATTTAAGTTAACACATTTAAAAATTTAAATAAGAATAGGCCTGTACCATCATCATGGTTTATGTTTAAATAATAAGTCATTTGACGAATTACTTATAATGTATTAAGATTTAAATAATAATAATTATTATTAATAAGATTAATAAACTCATAAAGATCTTTTTAAGATATACTTAGACATTCAAATTTGATCAAGAAATATAAATGAAAATTTATTTTAACATCTAAATTTATACTCTTAATTGTCATTGTCTAAAAAGTGTTCGAATTTTTTATTAAATAATAATATTTTGACAAGAGTATCATAGTTTTTAAAAAATTCGAGCTGTAAATCAAAGTTTTTAATGTTTTGATTAGCCAACTAAAGTATTCAAGTTTTAGAAATTTATTAAATTTCTCCAGAAAATTATACAGTATTTCTTTATGTTTTCTATAAAAATTACTAATTATTATTTTATTTCTTTCTTAAACATCCTGTAGAGAGAACGTTTGCTTAAGTTTATTAGTTTCCACTTAATTATAAGATCTTTGTATAGCTGATGGAAGTATCAAATTTGCAAAATTAAGGCGATATTTAAATCATTGCATTTTGTATAAAATATACAGTGGTTTAAATAAAAGATGAATAATTTTTTTATATGTTTATCATTCATTGTTTATTAATAAGCAAAATAAAGTTATCGATCTTGCAGTAATTGTAAATAAGTAATTAAATTTTCAAGCTTAATCAGTGGTACAAACATATTGATGATATTTAAATTGTTATAATTATTTATTTTCTAATAAAAACGATTAACTCATTAAAAAATAAGAAACTGAAAGTTATAGTTATTGCTTGCTTCTTATATAACAAGTAAAGTAAAACTAAGAAATATTTTATCAAATAATTTTATATATAGTAGTTATGAGTACTTAATGATTATATCAGTAAAGAAAGTAAAAAATAAAAAATAAAATAAAATGAAAAATTGTGATAAAAATTCATATTAATCTACGAAAATAGATTTATTTATATTAGGAAAGTGGTAGCATATTTTTCTATTAATACTTTTTACATTATTCTTAAATCCAATTCTATTGATACGAAGTAGAAAAATTGATTTAGCGTAGAAAATTTTACTTCAATGATAAGATATGAAATTTTATTAAAATATCAATTTTATAAAATACATTAATCTTAATTTTATTAAATTTAATTCAAAATTTGCAAATTTACGCTTAAAAATAAACTGAAATATTTCCACGTACTTTATGCTAAATAAAATAAGACTTTTTCACAATATATGATAGTTCAAAAATAATATAATTCATATTGGATATAGATTTTTACATCATTCACATGTATTTTTTATTAATTAAAATGTATGTTGAAACTTTTGATCCTTAAGAAATTCGAATACTCAAAAGAAAATAAAACTACTAATTTTTAAATACTTTCTTCAAAAAACTTTAAAAAAAGTTAAAATATAAAATTAATATAATAAAATATAAAATACATAATGTAATAAATTAAATGCTTATTTAAAGAAAATTAAGTTTAAATTTGCATTGATTCCTTTCAGCATTTGCTTTGTTTTTTACAACAAAAACAATTTTATCAATAAGCATATAATTAAAGAAAGAAAACAAAGACACAGGTCTACAGGTCTTTTAGAAATTGTAGATAAGTAATTAATTTCCCTACTTTCCAGCATTCAGAATACTTTGACATTATCTTGGAATAGAATACATGACCTCCTGAATACCAGAAAATAATACAGTAAATAAAAGTTACTAATAGAATTGCTATATTATAGAGGCTGAGATAAATATATTGAAAATTTTATAGATTTCTTTCATGTTTGTTCTATATTCATTTATATTAATTCTAAACTTATTTAAATGAGATTTTTATATCTCTTTTGCTGAATTAATTAAGAAACTTGTACTAATTTCTAGATTATGCAAAGTGTTATGGAAACACTGATATCACTTATGAAAATTAATATGATTAGTTACAGGAAAAAATTCTTTAATGGAATAGGAAGTATACAAAACAAAAGGGTTAAAGCGAACACTAAATACTCACCGTCATGAACAGCGATTCAGAAACAGAGCATGTTATTTAAGAACAAAAACGAATTCAAATCTAGTGCTATGATTACAATAGAGCAATGTTTATCATGTCAGACCCTACAAAAAAAAAACAATAAAAATTATTTTAAACAACATAAAATTGATGTAAAATGTAAACTTTAAGCTTACATTTCAAAACAGTAAACAGTCATTCTTCTTCTTCTTCCTCCTTTACATGGGTTCATATGCGTAAACAGTCATAAATAATAGGAAAGCTTATGTTTAAAATCATTAAAACATTAAAAAAAATTTTTTTTGTGTTTTCTACTTTATGAATGCATTTTTATAATTTCATTTTATCCTAATACATTAATCTAATTATTTAAACTTATAAAATAAGCATTTATAGATCTATAATTTATAAGCATAAACCCCTTTGAATTTAAAATAATCGAATATTTCAGTAAAATAATGTTCTTAAAAATATCAATAAAATAAAAAAATAACGAAATTTGAAACAAAATCTAAAATATAAAAAAATTTAGACTAAGTAATGTTAAACTATCAATAATTATGCAAATTGTATGATAAGAAGTCATTATTTATATAAGAAATTTATCCGTTAGTTTAAAAATATTCATTCTTCAATATTTTAATTAGCAAATGTAGAGACTAATTAATAAGTTTTAGCGAAAAATATTTTAGAAAATATTAATAAATTATTTTCTTAATAAAAATACAAATAGGTCCAAATGTTAGTTTTTAATTAATTACTAGCTTAATTTAAATTAAAGTTATCAACTTTTATATTTTCTCAGTGTAAAATATAATATGAATTAATAAACACCAATAAATGAACAGATTGATTTTGTTATATATTTAACTTAAAAAGAAATGACTCAGAATAGCATTTTAAAAAAACACACACACAAAAATAAAGTAAAAAGAACTGCGTTTTCAGTATATATTTTGTTATAATATCATATATATTATATAAGAATAAGTGCCAATATAATTTAAATTAAATTTTAAAAATTAATATAGTAAAATGTAACGCTGAATGTCAATATACTGTATTTTAATTAGTTTATATTTCCTTAAATATTGATACTACATGTACGCCTACTGTACAGTACATTAAAAAATAATTATTTAGAATTAAAAACAAATATCGTATTGATTTAAAATATTATTCCTAATGAATATTCTCTTACTATATACAGTATGTTTATGTTTCAGGAAGAATTTCATAAGGTGATCATAATTCCTTCTCTAAAACTTTTCTTCTTGTAAGGAATCCAATGTAATTGTGCAAGATGTATATAGAATCGCAAAAAAATTCTGTTCTGACGCCAAAAACTGTAGCCTCTTATTAGAGATAGTGACCTGATTCTATAAGCGTCGACAGACTCTTTAGTTAGCTAATTTATCCCAATAACCTCTTATTCTACTTCCTGGTGATAGGCACATTGTGAATAAGAGAGAGCAATATCATTGTGAAATATTAAAAAATAATATAAGATAAAGTCACATGGTAAATTTTATGTGACGTATACGTCTGATATGATTGATCATTTGAAATATCCAGCTAAGAAGTGTCTGCAATTTGATGTGTAATTTAGAACTAAGGTTGACTTGCTTCTCACGTAGGACTAGCTTATGTATTTCAAACAATTGTTACACTTATCATTCTAGTAATTCTTAAAGGACGGTAGTAATATTATCCGATCTCATACTGTGTACGACTATTGGTAAGTTCTCAATTAATTCAACAAACTTGTATTATTATACGCAATTATTTTTTTTTATCATTGGCAGAATATTTTATAGAAATGTCCTAAAATAATTAATGCCTCTTTAAACTTACAGGTCAACTATTGTATTATAAATACTACTTACTGTATCATATATTTAATTCAGAGATTATATAAACAAGTTTCCAATTCACAAATAACAGCTTCTAAATAAGAATATTGGAGCCAAGAATAAATTTAAAATATTGGAGTTTTAACTGAAGCACAATTGACGAATAAATTCTGTAGCAGAATTAAATCTTATTTAAGTTTAAACTATTTTTACATTAAGCAATAATTCACGAATCGTTGCTTTCTTTAATTAAACGTTCAAAAGCTTTGTAAAGTTTAAAAAATATTTCATACATAAAAACTTAAAATGTAGTTTTTATATAGTATATGAAAAAATAATAATAATTTTTCATAATTGATTGTTATATTTGTAAAATATTTTTAGTATGTAAACATTTTTATTACACTCGAATGGTATAATTTGTTACGGATTATCTAGCTAGAGAATATCTAAAAAAAGTTTGGCTTAAAATAAATTTAATGTTTAATGGAAATTATTTAAAATCTTTTAAGTTTGTTTCACATGTGTTGCAAATTAATATGGAATAAAAACTTAAATATTTTAATTAACGTGTTTAATACGTGATTGTGTATTTACTGGCAATACTAAATGATGACAAGATAAACTAGTATAAAATTATAATTATATACTGTCTAAATTTTGCATATTAAATTTTGTAGCAATATTCTANAGCTCTTCGAACACCTTCAAAAAGAAGAGATATGTAACTATAAGTATAATATTTTCAACATTAATTATATTAACCCACACAATACCGATGATTGCTGCGACTGAAGAAACATATCAAACTGGTAAGTTATCAATTAGATTCATATTTAATGACAGAAAAGGGATGAAAATAATTCATTTTCTTCAAGTGAAACTTTTAATCATTGTATTGTATTTTTTGGTTGATATATTAAATAATTCTAAGTACGCTATTAAAAAATAAGTAATAAATTATTAAACAAAGCTTAAAAAATATATGAATAAATTAGTTAGATATTCATTTTTTTAAATTAATAAAAACAAGCGTTAATTTCAGTTTATCTATTTTTAATAATGGTGGTTAACAATATAAACCAAGCGAGAAGATAATCAGTTCGAAAAATCCAATTAACACACAAAAGATAAGAGATTTGATTGTATTAAGTTAAATATAGGGCCTAATAAAAATTATCATTGCTATAAATATCATTATATCAAATTTAGAATCGCATGAATGATATATCAACGGCCTTCGTTTAAAGTCTGATCTCATTAAATCTTCGAGGATAAATGTTATTTTTTTAAATTCTATAAATAAGATCTATCAATAACATTCTAATATTAATAATGCAGAATGCATTCATCGGGAGTAATATCACGTTCTAAAATAATTTAGGATATACCGTAGACAATTATGTTGGCTATTGTTTCACTGACTTTAAGTAGAATATATCTTTAGACCAATTAAATAGTTTTGATATATAAGTCGCTTATTATCCGTATAAAAATGCATTTAGTTCTAGCCGAATTTGAAATTCGTGAAAAACAGGAGAGACGATTCGCATGCAAATCCTTGTGAATCATTGATTTAGTGAGTAAAGTATTAGAGCGAAGAAAGTTTGTTTCGCGTTCACCTGAAGCCGTTACACTCGACACGTGTTATATAAAAAGAAAAGAAAGCCTTAGAGCAAGTCTTTAAAATCTGAAACTAACTCATCCGTAGAGGAAATAAAAACAAAAATAGCGGATTGCAACTGTCCACTTGGCATAACGTCACACGGGTACGTAGCGATTGCATGATGTCCTTTCTCTGACACCTGCTACCCGTGTTCACCTGACTGGACAGGTAAGAGTGTTTGTCCCCCAGCCTGGGACCTGTCTGACTTAATTAGGGGCCGGGGTTTGGTGGCCTCCGGGCCGACATTGATCCCCCATCCTCGCCCTCCCTTGTTACTTCTCGTACGCCGCGATAAATTGCGAGAACTCGTTGACCGGCCGTGGATTCCACCGTTTTAATGGAAAGGTGTTGGTGTTTTGTGTTGTGTGTGAGAGGACAGCTCGGAGTACTAATCTTAAAGAACCTGCTAGAGACCAGAACTACTTCCCTATGTGGTATGGTGAGTGTAACGTCGAGCTAGGTGCTTAAGAAAAAACCTGCCTCTCAGAACTTTCACCTTTCGGCCCCACCTCTCGTAGCAGACAGGTGGTGCGAGATGCAGGACAGGACCACCGCCCCATAAGCCGGCTCTTCGGTAGGTTCGCTACACGCTCTCAATAGATGATGCGTCTTTGTGGTTTACATGTGTATGTTTACTTATGTGAACAGTTCTTCTTCATTCGATAATCTATGGGATGTTAAAAACTTGACCGCTCTATAGTTACGACCACGAGGCCAACCGAAGTCCTACAGTCGCACACCGCGTCTGGGCCTTAGTGGTACAGTGGAAGGTTTGACTATCTACTGGCCTGCTAAGTCCCAAACGCTGTGGGCCTCACGTCGCCATTAAAACTACAGAATTATATCGATCGGGTATGTGATTGGTCCATCAGAGAAGTATTTACTCGCTGTGGATAATACTCTAGGTTAGTACGTTTTATTTTAATTCTGAGTAAAAACAGCTGATTGTTTACAGCGTTATAAGTCAAATAAATCCTGCAAATGACTAGAATTTTATTTCTTAAAAGCAAAATGCGTTAAATGGCATTAAATGGCAGTTTAGTATATATTTCAATTTTTAAAATCCAATTCTAACAACAATTTTTTTTTTCACTATTAACAATATAAATAAATATTAACAACTCTTCAACAAAATATAATATGATCAAAATAGGATAAATATTGCATTTAAACATATTAAAATTGACTTTAACTTGGTAAACTTTTCAATATTCCTTATAAATATTCGATGAATTTCATAGATTACTAATCCGAAATTGTAAAGTAAGGATTTTTTATAAAAGAACTTTTACAAAAATTATTAAAAATTTAGGCCTATATAAGTTAATAGACATAGAAAATTATAAAATGCAAAACTAAGCTTACAATTATGGAAGATTATTTCATAAATATTTACTATTTAATTTATAATATAACAAATAAATTAATATAGTAACACGAAAATCAGTATATATTTAGCCTAATTCTTTGTTAAGAGTTTATTCTTGATATATTTTGTAAATTATTCAATATGAATAACAGACATCTTTCGTTATGACTGTTTACATCTTTGTAGGCTATTTAACCTTGAAAGAGACATTAAGTGTTACATAAACAAAACAGGTGCCTAGAATCGATGTTTTTAATGCAATGTATTACAACTTATGCAATAATAATTCGTTTAGTAATCCAATTTAACTCTGTAATAT